TCATCTTGAATATTTTCTCTTATCCATCAAAGGGTCGTAATGAGTTAAAGATTGGCACATTCTCATAATTAATAGAGGACCAAATAATATAAAATAAGTGGACAAAAACAATTTAACGAGATTCATAGGATGTGTCATAATATTTATTCACTATGATAGAAAATAGAAAAATATTACATGAAATCATGTCTATAAATCAAGCCCAATGCTGTTAAAAAATGAAAACCTAATAATGAATTAATTGAGACTGGTAACAAAAGGAAAAAAATACTAACATTCGAAAACATGGCTTCCAACATTAAAATGCACATTGCAAAAATTTGAAATATAACCATTGTTAGCACCGATTACTCTAGGCCATAAGGAAAGCTAGATGTAAGAGTGGATAAGATAGAATTAACAATAATATATGAGATTAGAAGTTAGTTTATATTAACGCTTATAAAGTCTAAGTTGAGGTAATTAAACTAGTTTATCTATTCGTTTCTCTTTATATATTTAAAACATAACATGATAAGTTTGTCCATTAATATCTTGTGTTTTATTTACAAAGTGGGTTTCATACCAATATCAAATAATATATTATAAATCTATATCTGCATTTTTTTTTATGTTAATACAATCAAAATACCATGAATGTATCAGGCACTGTATTGAAACAATGTGTGAAAGAATAGGAGTAAGCACTAAGCTCATATATTCGAAGAATGTAGTTGGCGTGCAAGTTGCACACGCCAAGTCCAAATCTGTACAGCCTACCAATATGATGATGGCATCCAGATGCAGACATCTTTGATTTCCTACTAAATATTTCAAAATAATTTATCTTTGATGGAGATTGAAGGTGTCAAAATACGTTGATCACTCAACATGCAGAAAAATATGACGGAATTAGGAAACAATGTGCCCCTTGTCGGCCTCAGCTGTAAAAACTCGAGGCCTATGTTGTTGGGAATCTACTTATACATGTACAGCGGAATTTAAAATAATTTTCGATTCCCACCAAGAATCGTCTTTTTATGTAGATAGAAATTGTGATAAGATTGTACATTTTCCAGATTTGCAAACTTTGCTATTCTTTTCGTTCCAGCAATTTTAATTCGCCATCCACAGCTGTCCAATTATTCAGCCTCCAACGGTAATCCACACAGAGTGATAAGTGTGTTTTTACACACTTATTTAGCACTTTTTGGGACTTTATTATTGATAAAATTGAGTAGATTTCTATTTATAATTGTGTAATTGTTACTTTTGTAGGTTAAAACCCCGGAAAGAAGTATAATGAGCGAAAAGAGAAGGAAAAGGACCTGAAGTGCAATTATGGAAGGGCCTAATGTAATAAAAGTCAAATTTTGAGGACCAAATTGCACTAAATGAAAGTTGAAGGACCTAATCTGCAATTTCGAGATTTTTTGGTCAACATTTTTATTATTTTATCCTTATTTTATTCTAGATATTTTTAGGATATTTATGTTGTATCTAATAATATCTTTATTATATATATTATATTTTATCCTAGATATTTTTAGGATATTTATGTGTCTAATAATATC